AGGAGCACCCAGATTCATAAAGCAAGTTCTTAGAGACCTACAACGAGACTTGGACTCCCACACAATAGCAGTGGGAGACTTTAACACCCTATTGTAAACATTAGACAGATCAACAAGACAGAAAATTAACAAGGATATTCAGGATTTGAACTGAGCTCTGGACCAAGTAGACCTAATAGACATCTACAGAACTCTCTACCCTAAATCAACAGAACATACATTCTTCTCAGCACCACATCGCACTTATTCTGAAACTGACCACATAATTGGAAGTAAAACACTCCTCCGCAAATACAAAAGAACGGAAATTATGACAAACAGTCTCTCAGACCACAGTGCAATCAAATTAGAACTCATGATTAAGACACACTCTCAAAACTGCACAACTACACGGAAACTGAAGAACCTGCTCCTGAATGACTACTGGGTAAATAACAAAATTAAGGCAGAAATAAATAAGTTATTTGAAACCAATAGGAACAAAGACACAATGTACCAGAATCTCTGGGACGCAGCTAAAGCAGTGTTTAGAGGGAAATTTATGGCACTAAATGCCTATAGGAGAAAGCAGAAAAGATCTAAAATCAACACCCTAACATGACAGTTAAAAGAACTAGAGAAGCAAGAGCAAACAAATTCAAAAGCTAGCAGAAGACAAGAAATAATTAAGGTCAGAGCAGAACTTAGAGAGATAGAGACATGAAAAACTCTTCAAAAAATCAATGAATCCTGGAGCTGGTTTTTTGAAAAGATTTGCAAATCTAGCCAGACCAATGAAGAAGAAAAGAGAACAATCAAATAGACACAATAAAAAATGATAAAGGGGATATCACCATTGATCCCACAGAAATACAAAACTATCATCAGAGAATACTATAAACACCTCTATGCAAATAAGCTAGAAAATTCAGAAGAAATGGATAAATTCCTGGACACATACACCCTCCCAAGACAACCAGGAAGAAGTCAGATTCCTGAATAGACCAATAACAAGTTCTGAAATTGAGACAGTAATTAATAGCCTACAAACTACAAAAAGCCCAGGACCAGACAGATTCATAGACAAATTCCACCAGAGGTACAAAGAGGAGCTGGTACCATTCCTTCTGAAACTATTCCAAACAATAGAAAAAGAGGGACTCCTCCCCAACGCATTTTATGGGGCCAGCATCATCCTGATACCAAAACCTGGCAGAAACACAACAACAAAGAAAGAAAATTTCAGGCCAGTATCCTTGAAAAACATTGATGTGAGAATCTCCAATAAAATACTGGCAAATTGAATCCAGCAGCACATCAAAAAGATTATCCACCACGATCAAGTCAGCTTCATCCCTGGGATGCAAGGTTGGTTCAACATAAGCAAATCAATAAACATAATCCCTTGCATAAACAGAGCCTATGACAAAAACCACATGATTATCTCAATAGATGCAGAAAAGGCCTTTGATAAAATTCAACACCCCTTCATGTTAAAAACTCTCAATAAACTAGGTATTGATGAAATGTATCTCAAAATAATAAGAGCTATTTATGACAAACCCACAGCCAGTATCATACTGAATGGGCAAAAGCTGGAAGCATTCCCTTTGAAAACCAGCACAAGACAAGAATACCCTCTCTCACCAGTCCTATTCAACACAGTATTGGAAATTCTGACCAGGACAACCAGGCAAGAGAAAGTAATAAAGTGTATTCATATAGGAAGAGAGGAAGTCAAATTGTCTCTGTTTGCAGGTGACATGATTGTATATTTAGAAAACCCCATCATCTCAGCCCAAAATCTCCTTACACTGATAAGCCGCTTCAGCAAAGTCTCAGGATGCAAAATCAATGTGCAAAAATCACAAAAATCACAAGCATTTCTATACACCAATAATAGACAAACAGAGAGCCAAATCATGAGTGAACTCACATTCACAATTGCTACAAACAGAGTAAAGTACCTAGGAATACAACTTACAAGGCTGTGAAGGACCTCTTCAAGGAGAACTACAAACCACTGCTCAAGGAAATAAGAGAGGACACAAATGGAAAAACATTCTATGCTCATGGATAGGAAGAATCAATATAGTGAAAGTGGCCATACTGCCCAAAGTAATTTATAAATTCAATGGTATCTCCATCAAACTAACTTTCACTTTCTTCACAGAATTAGAGAAAACTACTTTAAAGTTCATGTGGAACCAAAAAAGAGCCTGTGTAGCCAAGACAATCCTAAGCAGAAAGAACAAAGCTGGAGGCATCATGCTACCTGACTTCAAACTATACTACAAGGCTACAGTAACCAAAACAGCATGGTACTGGTACCAAAACAGAGAGATAGACCAACGGAACAGAACAGAGATCAGAATCAGAAATCATGCCACACATCTACAACCACCTTTGACAAACATGACAGAAACAAGCAATGGGGAAAGGATTCCCTATTTAATAAATGGTATTGGGAAAACTGGCTATCCATATGCAGAAAACTGAAACTGGACCCCTTCCTTATACCTTATACAAAAATTAACTTAAAATGTATTAAAGACTTAAACATAAGACCTAAAACCATAAAAGCCCTATAAGAAAAACTAGGCAGGGCCATTCAGGATGTATGCATGGGCAAAGACTTCATGACTAAAATACCAAAAGCAATGGCAACAAAAGCCAAAATTGACAAATGGGATCTAATTAAACTAAAGAGCTTCTGCACAGCAAAAGAAACTATCATCAGACTAACAGGCAACCTACAGAATGGGAGAAAATGTTTGTAACCTATCCATCTGACAAAGGGCTAATATCCAGAATTTACAAGGAATTTAAACAAATTTACGAGAAAAAAAAAAAAAAAAACAGAAAACAACCCCATCAAAAAGTGGGCAAAGGATATGAACAGATAGTTCTCAAAAGGAGACATTTATGCGGCCAACAAACATATGAAAAAAAGCTCACCATCACTGGTCATTAGAGAAAAGCAAATCAAAACCACAATGAGATACCATCTCATGCCAGTTAGAATGGCGATCATTAAAAAACCAGGAAACAACAGATGCTGGAGAGGATATGGAGAAATAGGAATGCTTTTACACTGTTGGTGGGAGTGTAAATTAGTTCAACCATTGTGGAAGACAGTGTGGCAATTCCTCAAGGATCTAGAACCAGAAACACCATTTGGCCCAGCAATGCCATTACTGAGTATATACCCAAAGGATTAGAAATCATTCCACTATAATGACACATGCACACGTATGTTTATTGCAGCACTGTTCACAATAGCAAAGACTTGGAACCAACCCAAATGCCCATCAGTAATAGACTGGATAAAGAAAGTGTGGAATACCATGGAATACTAGGCAGCCATAAAAAAGGATGAGTTCATGTCCTTTGCAGGGACGTGGATGAAACTGGGAGACCATCATTGTCGGCAAACTAACACAGGAACAGGAAACCAAAAACCACTCGTTCTCACTCATAAGTGGGAGTTGAACAATGAGAACACATGGACACAGAAAGGGGAACATCACACACTGGGTCCTGTCAGGGGGTGGGGGGCTAGGGAAGGGATAGCATTAGAAGAAATACCTAATGTAGATGACGGGTTGATGGGTGCAGCAAACCACCATGGCACATGTGTACCTATATAACAGTCCTGCACGTTCTACACACGTATCCCAGAACTTAAAGTATAATAATTTTAAAAAGGCCAGGTGCGGTGTCTCACATCTGTAATCCCAGCACTTTGGGAGGCCGAGGTGGGTGGATCACGAGGTCAGGAGTTTGAGACCAGCCTGGCCAAGATGATGAAACCCCGTCTCTACTAAAAATACAAAAAGTAGCCAGGTGCAGCGGTGAGCGCCTATAATCCCAACTACTTGGGAGGCTGAGGCGGGAGAATCACTTGAGTCCGGGAGGCAGAGGTTGCAGTGAGCTGAGATCGTGTCACTGCACTCTAGCCTGGGTGACAGAGCAAGAATCCATCTCAAAAAACAAGCAAACAAACAATGGACATGCCCATAGGCAGATGAATGGATAAAGAAAATATGGTACTGTATATACATACAATGAAATATTTTACAGCCTTAAAAAAGTAGGAAAGCCTGCCATTTGTTGCAAGAAGGATGAACCTAGAGGACATTATGCTAAGTGAAATAAGCCAGTTAGGGAAAAAGAAATGTTGCATGATTCTATTACATAAGGTATCTAAAATTGTCAAACTCATAGAAGCAGAGAATACAATAGTGGTTTTCCCGGACTGGGGGAATGGGGAAAATGGGGAGTTGTTAAATGGCTATAAAGTTTCAATTATAGCTGAATAAGTTCTAGAGATCTGCGGTAAAACATAGTTAACAATGGGTAGTGTGAAATTCAAAATACATTAAGAAGGTAAATCTTATGTGAAGTGTTCTAATCATAAATAAAACAAAACAGGCGACAAAAAACAAAAGGGAACTTCGGTAAGTGTTAGATATGTCTGTTACTCCGATTGTGGTAATGGTATCATGGTGTTTGCATTAAGCCCAAACCCATCACATTGTACACATTAGACATGTTCTTTATATATCAATAACACCTCAATAAAACTATTAAAAGGGTCAAATTTTAAAAATGAAAATAAAAAATAAAATAAAAATCATGTATGAATGAATGGCTAAAAAATAAATTAGATATTAATTGCAATGCCAAAAAAAATCCCACAATAATAAATTACTGGAAATTACTTACTACCTCCAAAAGAAAGAGTGAGATGGAGGGAGGGGGAGGGCGGTAGAGAGGACATGACTGAAGGAAAAAGAGAAAGAAAGAAAGAAAGGACGAGAAGGGAGGGTAGGGAAGGGGAAGAGAGGAGGAAGAAACTCTCCATGACATAAAAGATGTTCAAGCCTAGGAAATGGCTTTCTTCTTGGCACATCCATACTGAAAATTTCCTCTTGTTTCACCCTTGGAGACTTTGCTGTTGTTGGCTGGGTCTGCCTGCGCACGCTCCATTTGACTCTGTTGCACGACTCTCATTTCAGTGTTCTGTCAGTTGTGGTGTTGGAATCCAGAGAAGAAAGCAGGTGTGTCAAAGGCTGACAGCCAAAGGCCGGCTCGTCCCCCTCAGTGAGATGATGTGCAGGGATCTACCAGGGCTCCCTCTTGTAAGATCTTGCCAGACGCCTGAGTGCAGTAGTAAGTATGTGGCGTCCGCACTTCACCAAGATATGCTGATTCTGTTCATTTTGTCCCGATGTCTTTATTTTCCATATGTCAACAGATTTCTAATCTGTGGGTAAGGCAACTCAGGCTGAACTCAGTGGTGTTTTCGGCAGTGATCAGTAGAACGTGGAAGACCAAGATACAGTTCTAAGAAAAGTCTGTTTTAAGAAATGTCTCCCCACTTAACAAATGCATTTTTTAGGCTTCCTCACTTGGATTTATGTCCTCCACTTTACCATAATTCCTTCTGCTTAGAGTTCAGGAGTGTTCCTTGCAGAAGTTAAGCCGAAATACCTCCTGGTTCACTTTGCTAGGAATGCATTTGGACTTAATTAAAAGTAGAAGAGCCGTAGCTCTTTTTTTAAGCATTCAACTTTTTTTTCTTGTGTATAATCTAAAATTGGCAAGGATAAAACATGAAATAACTTTGATTTAAAAATGGCAGTTTGTACACCTCAATCAATTATGAATAATAAGCTTACTATAAAGAGTTCATATTGTGGCTTCATTATAGTCAAAGCTAATAGGCATGTAGCATTCATCTGTATTTTCAGTGTACATAATAGAATGTATGTTTACACATAAATATGTATGTTTCATATAAGAGTTATGTGGGCCGGATGCAGTGGCTCATGCCTGTAATCCCAGCACTTTGAGAGGCCGAGGTGGGTGGATCACGAGGTCAGAAGATCAAGACCATCGATCATGGTGAAACCCCGTCTCCACTAAAAATACAAAAAATTAGCTGAGCATTGTGGCACACGCCTGTAGTATCAGCTACTTGGGAGGCTGAGGCAGGAGAATTGCTTGAACCCAGGAGGTGGAGGTTGCAGTGAGCTGAGATCACGCCAGTGCACTCCAGCTTAGGCAACAGAGTTTGAGACTCTGTCTAAAAAAAAAAAAAAAAAAAAAAAAGAAAAGAAAAGAAAAAAGAAAGAAAAAAGAGTTATGTGTTAAAACATGTAAGTGGAGGCCTGCCATAACAACAATTGAAAAGCAGGCAGCAGAGTGGTGGTGAGGAAGTTAGTAAGGGAGGTAGGGAACAGGCATAGTGGAAATAACAGCTTTGGAGTTCATTTACCACTTTTTCACTATCTTTAATTACTCACCTGTAAAATAACATTCATTATCTCAGTTACCCTCCTGAACTTTTGGTAAGGAAAAAAAATTAAAAATGAACTATTCTTATTTTAATGCTCCTTAGGAGAGGAAAACATATGTATAGGTTCAATTTATTGAACAAATTGAACTTCAAAAACTTCAATTTACCAACAGCTTTCCTGGAGAAACTCACAAAACAAAATTAGAAAAATAATTAAGTTTTTTTTTTTTTTTTTTTTTTTAATGTAGTGACATTTACTGAGCAATTGCTATGTGGAGTTCTTTGCATGCATTATCTCATTTAGTCCCCTGAACAACATTGTGAAGCAGATACTATCTCCATTTGGAGATGAGAAACCCAAGACATAGAAAAGGCATGAGACTTGCCTAAGGCTCCCTGGCTGCCAACTGAACTGCTTGACCACAAGTCTGTCTGATTCTTTTACCCATGTTTTTAGCTGCCTCTCTATGCTGATTCATGGACAACATTAACATTTTTTTTTTCCTGAGGAACACATTTCCAAAATCTTAAGAGTCCAAAAACTTGAGATTCCAAGTTGTAAAATCTCCTGGAATTCAGGAGTGTCTGTAGCATATGGCACACTATCATGCTTTGTTCAAGCTGCCTCTCTTATCTGAATTTTTATTAATTGCGGATGGTTGCATAGCAGTGTGGCTAGACTGTAAAAACTGCCTTACAGGAGAGTGAAATTAAAGTGATACTGGCAGCTTCCTCTGAAATAGTAACAGAATAACATGTGGGAATACATCGTGGTTATTAGGGCATCCAATGTGGTACAAGATGAAATTATAAATTATTATGGCATGCATTGAGGAGCAGAGAAAACTACAAGTTTTAGGGAGAAAGAAAAACACAAGAAAAAAAGATAGTAATATTTCTTCTTTACTCCACCCCACTCCTGCCTGCCAAACATGTAGGTCATGAAGGTAGACAAGAGACAGGAATGCATGCTCCCAGCACAGCCAATGCACCCTGAGCTGGGCTCCCACTTCAGCTATAGCCTGGCCTCACTCCATAATCTTTGATCAGTAGCCCTTGCTTGCTGAAATTTATGTTCTACTTCTACACTTTCACATAGCATCCTCTTCTTTTCACCATCATATGACAGAGCAAGAGATGAGGTTGGCTTTCTCTTATCCTCTCTACCCATCTGTCTCTGCACCATTTCCCTGCTGTCATCACACACTTAGCATGTAGATTGCCCCATTTCATACCTTCAAAGGCACCATATGCAGACCCTACAAGACACTCTTCACCTTTCTTCAGGACACACCACCGCCAGGACCATGATTTCTCTCTGACATTTCCTAACATCCAAGACAACCAATATCTGTGTTGATGACCTTTCTAACACCTGATATCCCAATTTCCCAACCTCATCAATTCCACTGACCCCATCACCTTCGCATGGTAACCCCTTAGACTTCCTCACTACTTGGCACTCAGAATTAGCTTCTTGTTCTGCTTTACCCTCAACTCACTCCTGCTTATTTAGTGCCTCACCATGACCTCTGGTTCTTCCGTATCTCCTTATTATCCCCAGTTTCTGCTCTTGCCCTAAAAACCTTTGCTGGCATTCCTTAGGTCTCCACTTAACCAACTCTATCACCAAATCTTTATACCTTTCATTAACCTCCGGCACTGACCCCTGCTCAGCTTCAACACTGGTATTATTTTTCAAGTGATTTGTTGGTTGTTTGGTTGGTTTCCTAGCCTGAGCCACTAGGATTTCCTAAAGAAAATAATATCACCATGCTAATTTGACATGTTTCATATTTATGCTATTTTAGCTGGACATTAATGGATTTGTACCCTATTTTCTAAGAATGCCCTAGAAATTCACCATAGCAACTATTTCCTAACTACTGAATAGACCCATTTCTCTGTCAATGAACTTGTCTTTCATTCCACCAGGAATATCAAGACTACAGTGGCATAATGTCCTTCTGATTTTCCTCTCTGTTTCACCTCAAATCTACCCCCTCTCCTCCTCAGATTAGAAATGTATGATCTACCCCATCCATGATGGAAGGAGGTCCATAGACAAGAAAATCAGGCCCAGTAGTGCTGTCAACTTTATTTTCGTCCAAGGTTTCAATTCTAGAAAATGTGTCCTAATTGGTGCCTTGGGTTTAAGTAAAACCCATCCTCTTTGGAGGGGTGATTTTTCTTGGCTGTGACCATTTTGGTGTGCAGCAGGTCCAAGTCAGGTGGGAAATATGTCTTCTGCTCCCCCTAGAGGCCAGCGGCACACCCTATAGTCCAGTGACACCCACTGCCTGCTTCTCCCCAAACAATCCCTGCACAGTCCCCTTGTTCAAATTATTTCCATCCCCATATCTAGTGACTGAAGTTCTTCCTGCTCCTGAAGGGTCAACACAAACCCTACCTTCCCCAATAAGCTTTCTCAGTTGCACTTAATGTCTGAAGGGTAATAGGACATTGTGGTTAAGCTAACTCACCTGAGTTCAAATCCTAGTTCTTCCAGTACCTCATCATGTGACACTGAGGAAGTTATTTAATCTATGTGGGTCTCAGTTTTCTCATCTGTAAAATGAGAATGGTCTTTATACCTACCTCATGGGACCGTTCTGAGAATCATGAATTAATACCTATAAAGTGCTCAGAATCAATGCCAGGCACACACTAAAACCTCAAAAATATTGATTATTTTTAAGGTCTTTTTATCTCATTTCTATTATAGGTTTAACATAGGATAAAATGTAATAAGTAAGTTGTGTTGTATATTCTGGCCTATTAGGGTATGAGCTTGTATGGGGTAGGTACACAGCACCTCTGAATGTTCTGTTTTGTCTTTTTCTATATAATCCCCCAACATGTTTATCAGAATGAATTGTACTCATGGACATTCTTTTTAAATATGTCAGTTGTGGTTAATTCTCAAAGTGCTGTTAGAAATCTACCTGTCTTGGTTTTCGATCAGGCATCTAAAGAAAAGAAGGATAACAGAAATATGTAGTGTTTGATTTTAGATTTTTTAAATTATGACTTTTACGGTTCCTGAGCTTTGGTAAAGAAGAATTTTTATTTTTCCCCAAAGTACTGAGAGCAGGATAGATTAGGGAAGAGGAACCCAGGCATGCCCTATTTTATTGAAATGTCAAGAAAAATATGCCACAGCCCCTTCCCACGGATATCTCAAAGCTACTCTCATCTCTCCCACCTGTGGTCTCCCTCCTTGTACCGGCACACAGCCTGCGTCTTTAGTTCACCAGCCTCCTACACACCTCTTGGACTTTACCATTAGAATATGGTCTCCTCTGCTGTAACTCCTCCTCTAGCTTTGCTAGTTCTGGCTGCTTCCAGTAACACCCATCCCTGCTTGTCATAGCTACAGTTGTAGAAACCCAACCAGGCACAGGCCCACCTCACCAGCACCCTCTTGGGCTGGTGGCACTTTCTGCAGGGTCCCAGGGCATACGTGTTACTTTTTCTTTTTCTCATTCATTGCCTTAATTCATTCAACAAACAGAAGGCAGTGGTCAGTGACATGGGTGGGCAGAGGTCAGGAAGAATTTCACAAAGGAGGAATTCTTGAGCAGACTTCTGAATGACATGTCCGTTCAGCAGGCCCACATGTGGGTGGACACAGAGGAATGTGGGGAAAGAGAGCAGTGTGGATAAAAGTAGGGGGTGTCAAATCAAGTGGTAAGTTTGGGGGAACTTCAACAAATTCCATAGGACTAGAACATAGGTTCAAGAGAGAGCTTGCAAAGTTAACTATAGAGACTCTTGAACTCCATGTGAAGGAGTTAAAATTGTATCCAAGAAGGAAGTGACTTGGTCAGGTTTGATTTTAGTTCATTTACTCTAAGAGCTGTGTAGATAT